ATCTGTGGCATCTTGGTCATTCTTAATATTTTAGGTGCTCAACCTGAAAAGCCTGTTTAGGGCTTACATTGCAGATTTATAAACGGCAATATTTAGAAAGGTTAGAGGATGATTATTACTTTTAAATATGTTGAATAAAGTGTAAGCTTGCATGCTTGATCCAGTGGATCATATGTAGCAGTCATTGCATACACTGAGGCACACTAAGTTCGTTGTGTCTGCTATTAGCTCTTAAGCATATTAAGGATGACTTGTTCTGGTTTCACAAGTCAATATGTGTTAAAGCTGGATTACATTGGCTGGTGTCAGGTATAAACAGCCTACATGACCTGAGTAATTGAGGTGCTCTACCAATTAACAATTCCCCAATTACTCATGTATTCAAGAGTGTCCACATCCGCTGTACCTGAACAATCCCTAGTTTTGCATATTGTGCAAGAAAACTTAATCTGGGTATCTTGATCAACAGCATATTGTTAAATCATTTCCTGTGATGAATTGTTTGAGATTTAAACATAAGCAAATCACCCTTACTTGTTTTCACATTAGAGACACACCTTTGAGCTAAAGCTTTACTCTAACAAAAAAAAAAATTAGCCACATTTGTTTCCTTGTGGCTTGTTCAGCAAACTAATGTTTATTTGATGAACAAGAGAAGTAAACATGGTAGCCGGAAGTCTCAGTTTCTTCTCGCCCTCACATTATAAAACACGTCATTTCCGGCTACAGCTTTTATTCGGTTCGTAAAGACTTCACATTTGTGATTGAGTTAAAACCCTTATGTATTGTGCTGCAAACGGCATTATTTATTTCACTGGAAAAAAGTCTGAGACATGTATTCTATAATCGGTAAGTGTTGTCAAACGACCTGCATGGTAATTCAAACGATGAATTTAATGCATCTTCAAGAAACAGGTTTAGCTAACTGTTACTGCCATTAGTCCCAATTTTGACCGCATATCGTATATTATGACATCGCAAACAAGTATTTAAAATATAATCCGCTGCTAGGAAATAGCTCAAGGAGAAATATTTTTTTCCCACAGTTTGTCGAATGTGGGACTGTGATGGTGAAGTCACAGATGTGGCTAATGCTAATGTTTTAGCTAGCCTCAGTTGAACGAACTTTCTTGTTGGGAAAAATTAAACATGCTTCAAAAAGACGAGGTGAGCTCAATATCACATTAACAATGTACAACTCAGAACATTAGTGATATGAGTTTTACATAATTTGAAATACTGCCATTAACTCCAGCTTCAAGTGCATTATTTTAGGGGTTATGAGCAAACTATTTTTAAGGCTCTTGAATTCGTAACTAGCACAGGCGTACTGTGTATAATGACACTCATGACTGCTATAATTAATGATATCTGTATACACCTGTGCTCTTCCAGCTCAACATGTGTGTAAATAGTGAGTGTTGCAATGGCATTATCGAAACCATTAACTCTAGTAGACAAAGCATGTAATACAGAGATAGTATAGCCTACTTTATTCATATTCATTCATAATATAGTGAATGTTGTTGTGCAGGGTGCAAAGGATATGAACACTTGGAGGCTTTACATTCTGTTCAGTATCAGTCAACTAGTTCAGTTTGAAGTACATAAAGTGCACGTTGCTGTGAACTTTGAAAAAGAAAATAATTCAAATGTTATGGGTCTGACTCACTAGAAGCTTTTGAAATGACATGTCAGGCATATTAGTCTGCAAACTATGGACTATTAAGAAAACATTTCTGTCATATTTCATATTCAGCTTTGCACAATTACATTTTTTCGTAAAAGTCAGAATTCTGAGAAAAAAAGTCTCAGAAAATTAAATAACAAATCTCATGAGGACCTGACCCTGTTTCATACAACAGAATATGTATATTAAAACTGACAGCCATAATAGAGCTGCTCTATGCCAGAAAATGGTTAACGCCCTGGTAATCCCATCCACAGCTACACTCTAGTTTACTGTGCTGAGATGTGCAGAACAGCCATATTAGCCATATTATGAGTGATTCAACTAACATCACTGTTTTTATAAATCTACACTCAAACAGTTCAGTCCTGTCAGACTTGCTTGCACATTAAAGGCAACAGTAGGCAACGGCCATTTACATGGAACTTAAGGATTTTGTCCTAGGATTCTTTCCCCCCAATGAGTTACTGACCAAGCAATCACTTTTAAACAGTTCAAACTGGAAACTACTACAACTTCAACTGATAATATAAATATTCCTGTCACAGTTTCTGAAAGTTGACTTTTTTTCACTGTGCACTATTACCATCTGCTGGCACAAAATGGCCATGACACATATGTATTCCCAGACCTATTTTCCTTTGAGTATTCCTGGTGGAATCCAATTGCAATTACTTTTTACATTACATGTCACTTGTTAGACGCTTTTATCCAAAGTGACTTACTTACTCAATACTGTGAATCCCCACAGGAGCAATTTGGGGTGAAGTGTCTTGCCCAGGGCACAACGACATGCTGACTGCAGTGGGGTTTGAACCTGTGACCCCCTGATCCGAACACCAACGCACGACCCACTGCACCACACGCCACCATTACTTGTATGATTTCACTCTAAAATTCTCATGTTTTGACTTTTTGTCTTGTTTTTTTGTGTCCTGGCTGTAAGACCAGCTCTTAGAATGAGTATGTAAACTGCAAGAGCAACTTTGTTTTACACCCATTTCAGAAACACCCATTGGACCAAAAACATCAGATTATGGCTTGTCTCGCTAGTCATTGTCATTTATTTTAGAGTAACAAGGATGATTGTTATTTGACCAGAATAATGAAAACAAGGCTCGGTGTCACCCTGAATGCATCACCTGCTCAAAAGAACTGAGATGGTGAGCATTGGTTTTAGCTGGGAGTTTACAGTCCGATGTCTTAAAATGTTTAAAATCTCTTTAACCTGCCGAAAATGTTTTTTTTTTTGTTTATCCTTTTTAAAGTTTGCATGGGAATATCTATTTATACACAATAAACATAAAACATGTGAATAAGAGTTGTGAATCTTATTCGGGGTTTTAGGATAAAAACATTTATAAATGTAAGTTCTGACTGCACACAAATGCCTCAAATACAGCCTTTTATCTTCTGGATATTTGGAAATCAACATTTTAAAGCTATGTTTTGAAGTTGCTATAAAGGAAAAGTTAATTGATATACATTATCTTGGGATTAGCTGTCACTTGAGGGACAGTATACTTTAGGCTTTAAAACTCAAAATGTTACCTCCAATTACCCCCCAGGAGACACACAACTGAGAGAGCTCCCAGATTTGGGACTTTTCCTCCTCTGTGGTGCATCCATAGATTCTGGCTCATGTGTCTGAGTCCAATACATGCATTAGACCCCCCCCCCCCCCCATTTTGATTTTAAATCTTCCCAAATCCTTGCAAACTAGTGTTACTCTGTCCTGCTCAAGAGCTGGAGGGAGCAAACACTGACCTGAAGGATCAGAGCAAAGCCTTTGAGTGGGTAGCTAATTCCTTCTTTAGCCCTCATCAGCTGTCCTCCGGGCTGGGATGGAGGCGTGAGCGATGAAGCAAAGCTTGCCCCATCTGGCAGGAAAATACACAATTAGCAAATAGTGACGATTTGAAACTACTGTAGTAGTTACATATGCGTTTTTGTGTTGTTAGAAAACACTAGTTTTTAAATATGCACATTAAACTTACTTTTATTACCTTTTATATTATAATAATTTGTTGCCTTTTTCTTGCTGTTTTTCTACCAGATATCCATTGATCCATTCAACCCTTCACAACACCCCTCTTATTTGATATTTAAAGTATGAAGCAACAACTAAAACCAAAACGTTTTTTGATTTGAACACCTAATTTCTATTATATTCAAGTTTAATGTATGCATTATGAGGTGTGTGTGAGCTTTGAATTACATCTGGTAGCCGCAAGCTCTCTGATCTGATGCAAGAACCTTCCCTTTTTTACTAAAAGCGACGGTAAATGTCAGCTCTAATATCAGTTGCAAATAAGTAGAATGCCTAGCTACAGCTAGTTTTAGTTTTTGTTGGAACTATACTTCATAACATTATTTTTGAGGATGTATTGTGTTTTGCATTATACGTAAAGTGAGCTTTTTCTTTCTTCCCAATGTATTCCAAAACTCTTGTTTTAGACTGCATGAATTGTATCTAGGTTACCCTAATGATGTAAGTGTATATTTATGAAAGCATTTAAACAAGAAGATTGATACAACACTGAGTACCTTTTAAGGCCTCTGTTATTTACACCATATGTGACTCTATTGCCCCCTGTTGCCCCAATTGAGGAGTAATACAAGATAAATTGACACTGGGCCCAATTTTATCTTCACTTGAAGGCTGAGCTGCCGCTGTTTTAGAGTGGTGCCTGCCTAACCTATCAGTTAGCCCTAATGGAGGCCAATATATAGATAAGTGTGTCTTGCCAGGAAAATCAATATCGATGTGGCCCCTGATGGTTTTTGCGTTAAAGTGCTTTGTTTTCTGCCATCGCCTCGAAACAAAGAGGCCATGGGTACTTCTATTAACAATCCTCAGTCAACCTTGAGACAGAGTCACAGGCAGTCACAGATAGAAATAGAAAGTGACAGATGGGGTGGTGGGAGTGAAGGGCTGCAGCTCCGGTACCAACATCACTAGAGCGTTAGATTTGGTGGAGGATAGAAACGCATCATCAGTGGAGCAGGGGCAAGAGCTTGAGAAGAGCGTGGTGAAGTGCAATTGAGACGAGCGGTGAATGGCCAAAATAATCTTCCAATTATAAGAACAAATAATATAATTAGAAATGGTATGATACTATGGAAAGGATATGATAAAAGAACGGCAAACATTAGTAATGAAAATAGTTTTGTGTGTACAGTTAACTTGGGTTGACGCAAACATTTTTGCAGTTATTAACAAAGCCCATTTTGGTGAATATAGTTTTATTGATGGATAAAATGGCAATCTTGCAATTTCGTAATTCCAGTTATAGCACATACTGTAGGGGCTGAAACAAATATAATAGAATACAGTGTGAATCAACTCTCTTGAAGGTGGCTGTGTTTAAAAAATAATAATATTACCACAGTTTTGCTTGTCTAGATTTAAAAACCTTCAAAGAAATGAAACGGAAATCAACTACAAGTTCCCTCCCTTTGAAACCAAGCTATCACATTCAGTCCTCAACTAAACGGCTATCCAGCTCAGTGTTCTCCTACCTTGTTTTTTTTAATGTGTACATATACATTTTGCTTTGACACACGTTAACACAGATCTTTTGTATAAAAATAAAAATATACAATTGTTAACAATATCACAGTTGTCAGGTTAGTCGTGTTAGCTTAGTTGAGCTAAGGCTCTGATGTGCTAGCTGTCATACTTGGCTAACTATGATCAAGTTGCTATATAGTAGATTTTCAGTCGTTTTTATATTTTTACAACATCTGATTGACAAGATGAGAAAAACATTCTTTCACACAGCTTGATGATACAATCTCAAACTGGATCTAACATATCATGGAGTTTAAAGTAGAACAGCCTTAAAGGAAAACCGTCTTACATGAAACTAATCCATGAAATAAAGAACACATGGGCAAACATTGGGGATTTCCAAACACTAAAACTAAATGCATCCCTTTTTATAACAGAAGCAGTTATTTGTTATTGGGGAAGATACGTTTTAATTGTAGCTCAAAGTTATTATTAAACCTGTTGACTTGCTCACGCCAGAAACACAACACATTGCGTTATTGAGAAGGCTGCACAAACATTTTGCACTATTTGATGGGAGACTTGAGATCCTTCTTAGAGATGGCAACCAACGTCAATTATTCACTGGAAGCTGAAATGCATACAAATATCCCAACAAACCTTGCACTACAACGTTTTTGTAGGCCATCCCGTACTGTTTACTTGTGTGGTAAAAGAAACATGGAAAACACATGAGGCAAAACTTTGCTTTCGAGCTATAAAACAAAATTCCCGTGAATTTTTTTGTCAGTATTTTTGCTTTATGCTTCACAAACACAAATACGCTGTTTTTCTGATGGGTCCATCTAAAAAAAAAAAAACAGCTTGTTGTGCCATAAGCTTTATTCTTTGATTTATTTCAAAAAGTAGGCGGAAATGTATAACAAGATGTTGCCCAGTTATAACACTTGATAATATGATAACATACTTTTGATCTACTTTGGAGCTTTTTTGATAAAGGCATAGACCATGTTTTTTTTACATGACGCTATTTTCAGCCACATTATTAGTATGACCTAAATGCTAGAGCAGAGAAGGTTTCATTTTTGAATACATTATTTCAGAAAACGGGGCATTATAGAATACATTTGTATTGCTCAGTCTAGTGCCATATCGTTTCCTTCAAACTTGCATAACTTTACGTCCAGTTTGATTTACTGGTCAAACAAACTGCCGTCACTACATCTTGTAATATTAAAACAATGTATGTCAATCAACCTTTTTTAATCTGGTGCTTCCATTTAAATGTGTCTACAATATAATCAGAATCAGATTTATTGCCAGGTAGGTTCGCACATAGGCTACTAGGAATTTGACTTGATGTCATGGTTTAATAAACTGGCATGGCATTATTAAAATGTGAATGTTAAAGAAATCGGCAGATATATTTAGGTTATAGGGTTAGGTACTAAGTAACATCTTCCATGACATTTCTTTCATTTGTGAGGTTTTATTTTTATAAAACCTTAAAGAAATAAAGGGATCGGGTGGTGCAGGAATGAGTCCTGTATCCAGGAAATTATTTCACATTTTATCAGTTTTTTTGAATGGGTTTTTGGTTAGCATAGTTTGTGGTTACCCAAAGCTTAAGAGTGTTTCACATTTGTTCTGCAACATACTGGCGAGTCTCTATGCATTGTAAAATGGAGGTTGCTGACTAAATGAAACAATTTAACGTTAACAATCCGAACTCCAGTCCGCCTTTAGCTTAGCAGTGGTGACGTGAAGCCATGCGACTGTGATGCACTTCCTTCATAGCCTAACGTTAGCTTCTACTTGTAGCAATTGCATTTACAACAATTATGAAAGCAGGGTTAATAAGTGGAGATTATCCTTACGTATCATAGACATTGATTTGTCACTGAGCTTATTTTCTGCAATTATCTAAAATCCATTAGAAAATCCAATGGCTTTTCGAGGGAGCTCCTCCAAATTCTAACTTCTTGGTCGGCTTACGTAACACCTTCATCCCTGCACCACTCGGTATGAGCTTGACGGTGATTGACTTGAGTGATGGACATGTGGATGCGTGGTCTCCATGGCAACAGCAGACACCATGGAACACTCGTACCCTCTGTTGTGTTGGGACAATGTTCCCGACCCTTCAGACACAGGGTTGTCACCTGGCCAAAAAAACATAATCATTAAGATATTAAATAGCTAACAAGAACATTTACTAACGTCCTTGTGTGCAAAGATTAACACCAAGGTGTTTTTGATTAGTTTCAGGTACCTGTTTCTGAAGAGCAGGATGGACAGACGGCTCTTCTGGGACAGCCCATGGCAGGGATGATCTTTCCCATCATGCCGTTTGCTGCCACCATGTAGAACTGCAGATACATACAGGTATTCGTCAAAATGTATGAGTTTTTATAAACGTCTTAGAACTATATTTCCATTTCTTGTGTTGTTTATTTGAGTCTTATTCTGACATCTTGCTCGCTAGTATTTATATGTTAAGTTGGATTTAACTTAACTGGGGTTTGTATTTTCTTTAAAGTGAGCTTTAAAATATGATATCATGAAGACCATGATGGCTCTACTTTGACTTATGTCTGTTGCATTAGATGACTTTCTTTACTTAAAGATGTATTTAGCACAGATCTTGTGATGATGGTCTTACCCGAGGCATGCTGGTGGTGTTCTCTGACATGCTCTCATCTGTCACGCTGTTCTCACTCACATTATCCCCTGAGGGCTGTTTGTGGAAGAATGTTCTAGTTCTGCATTGAAGAAAGAGAAAGCAAACATGCAGTATTGTAAATTATAATTTTTTAAGCATGTACAAAAATATTCACAGACTTGCATGGTGTTTACATGGTTATCAATTGAAAAACGTGCCTTTGTATAGGGAAATTATGTTTAAATTCAACATTTATGTCTATACTTTAAGTGGATTTATTAGAATTTTCAACTGAAAAAAAAAAACAGCAAAAGAAACAAGCTGCTTTTTTACATCACTGTGTACTGTATGATATATTATTTGTGTGTATGTGTTGCACAGTGTTTGAGTTGAGCTGGTTTAGTTTCCTCTGCATGCACACTTGCAGTCAAGTGCAGAAGGCAATTTGAAGAAGAGCTATTGGCGGCCATGTAGCGTTTCCTCTGGGGTCATACCTCAGCGGCTCCATTCTGTAGCTGAGAAATGACCTATTTTTATGTGTAATTGCTGTAGAACAAGCTAAACCAAGCATGTAATTGAAAGCGTGCCACTTCCACAGGGGAACCAAGAGTGCAAACGTTGAGATGTCGTAGGTGGAGGGGAGGGGTGTGCTTTGTGATTCAAAGGAGTGGAGAATGCCAACGGCCTTGTCCATAAGCCAGCGAAACAACCGTAAAACAAATCAGCTACTTAGAGACAGCTCAGGTGGAAATAACAGGGAGGAGGGGTGGCAGTGTGTAGTTTGCGTATGCTCCCCTCTCCACTAACCAGGGTTGCCTGCTGCCATTCGTTCCACATGTGACCCCCTGCTGTCAGACGGAGACTCCTACATTACACGGCTCATGCCATCCTGGGTTTGATAGACATCTCTAAATGCTGTCAGCTCATTCATCACTGGAGCAGCTCCTCCCCCTCTGCGCTGCTCTGGGCTTTCAGTGTCCAGAAGACTCACCACAACAATGCTTATTATATACAATCATACAGCAATGCTTCTGACATTAAATATGTGCAGATTTTTTATTTTGCTTTAACCATTATCATTGAAAGAACTATCAAAACCATAACACGACTCCTTCATCATCTTGCTATATTCTTCTGCAGCTAAACTCCGTCTCCACTGCCTTTTCTTCCAGCCATTGTCACCACTATGTTTTTTTTGTTGCCGTCTTTTTCTTTCTTTGACTTAATCTTTTTTTGTCCCATTTTCCTTTGAACTTTTTTGCTTTGATGTTCTTGCCCTTTCTTGTTCTGTTCCCAACCTTTCCTTTTATTATGGCTTTTTATCAGGCTTTATCTTCTCTCCCTGCTTTCATCCTCACAGTTTTAAAGTAGTCTTTCCTCCCCCTCCCCACCCCTCTCTCACCCGTAGCAGTAGGTGGCGCAAGCAGCGATGGAGAGCAGGGAGACAAGGAGCACCATGCAGGCCGCGATCACCACGTTCCTCCTCTTCTCCTCCTCGGCCTGCTGAAGCTCCCACCACTCCAGGTCACTGAACTGACAACGCTCCCCCATATAGCCTGGTGCACAACTAGAGCAGGAGAGAAGACAGCATGAGTGTGTAGTCCATTTGCACAATCTATTATAAAGTGAGTGTGGAAGAGTTTAACTTCCACACGTACATATGACACGATTAATATACCGCAATGCAACATTTATTTAAAAACACAAATGTTAAATACATTTAGGTTTTCAAAAATGTGTTTGTAGATACTTGTATACGTGTTTCAATAAGAAACAGTTACATTCTGAATTGTCTGTCCTATAGCCACTTTGTGTTGAGGCAATGGCTTTAATCATGAAACAACAGTGACACCTACGGGTTGTCATGTGTAGTAAATTATATGAGAAATACGACGCAAAAGGTCCTGCAAAATGTGCAATTCCAATGCGTTTGTATAATGTTGTTTGAAAAGAAAAATACTTTTAAGCAATCAGCTTAATATGACCCTGATTACTTTTGAGTAACTGCATATTTTAGAGTGCAATTACAATATATAAAAAAAGCTTAAAGGTGGGATAGGTAAGTTTCAGAAACCGGCTCGAGATGCACTTTTTGTTATATTCCATGGAATTCTCTTAACATCCCGATAGCAATGAATATCTTAAGTGCTTTGACAAAAAATCCATAAAAAAATTGCATCTGTGGAACCCGTAGTACTGTAAACTGGCGGCAACGGCCAATCCGTTTAGCCGTTGCCGCCCTGTCTGTCAGCCTTCCATCTCGTGCACGCACAAATGTATCTCGTGCCCTCATTGGGCGTGCCGTCATTGGGCGTGCATTGCAGCAGTACTTCAATGACTCGAGAGGCAACAGGCGGCCACTTTCACCAGTCTGCTGACGTCATGCGCGCGTTCATGTGTGTTGGAGGAGGTGCTCTGTAAGGAAGTCTGAAGGAAGGGGCGGATTCTTTTCGGCTGTGTACTTTCACATTTTAGTGCACTCGAGCCGGTTTCTGAAACTTACCTACCCCACCTTTAAACCAGAACTCATCTACTACAGAAGATGATCAAAGGATTTCAGTTTAGGAAAGCGAGCATTGTTTGTGTAGACAATATGTCAGTAAGCTGTTAAACTTGTAGATCAGGGGTCATACTGAGGGTAAAGAGAGGTTATTTACTTGCAAGCATAGGCCTCCATTTCAGGGAAGTAGACGCAGACACCCTGGTACAGACAGTAGGACTCATAGGAGGAGGGGCAACTCTCTACTGAGTTACTGTCGTGGTGCCCGGTGGTGACATCAGCTGGACTACCGGTCATCAGCCATGGTGTCGTGGTCTCCAACTCTTGAGAGGATTTAGGGAAATAATCACGTTAATTGGACAACTATACAGTATGGCACTGTTTCCCCTCTTAGAGCTTTAATCATAGTCTGCTCCAGAATACTAGTCCTCCTTCTAGGTGACTCGTGTAAACATAATATCATATGTATGATAAAAGGGATTATATTACAGCCCAGTAATGATATATGTACTAGTGTTATTTATATTGTGTCATACTGGATACAAAACTCTACTGTTTTAATACTTTCAATAGTACGCCTGATGATCAGTAGCAAGCCAAAATAGACTAATCCTGTTGAACACTAATATTTTTCTAATATTCTACAATAGAAATTGTATATGCAAATAATTGAGACGCACCTTGACATGTCTTCCCGTTGCCATAATATCCAGCCTGGCACTTGCAGAGATAATTTCCCATGGCATTTTGGCATTCTGCATTTTTGTCACATTTGTGCGTTTCCTGTTTGCACTCATCAATATCTACAACAAATTAAAAAGAGAGGTACATAAGTATTAATCGTAAAACAAAAATAATTCACTTAACAGCTCATCTAAATGAGAATGTATTATTATTTATAAGCGTTATGGTAAAACAAAAAATGATTATAATGGACAATTTCTCTTTAACTAGGACTGCACTTATCAGATACATGGGTGAACGTTTTGTTTTATCCATCAAATGAGTTGGCACATGGCCTCTGTCTGCTGCATACAGATTTGAAAGGTGCCAACCTTTTAAGACCTTAACCTTTTAATTTATATTTTAAATATTATGAATTATTGGAAGAGCTTCCTTTTTAGACGTGCCTTCTGGCTTTAGCGCCTGTTTATATAAAATATTGTGATTATCTTTGCTTCCAGAGCAGCTCTGCCTCTGAAATATACTTAGCTTCCAGTGCTGTCTTACTGCCCTTTTATGCCTACTGGCACCTACGCCAAATGTACAATTCAAACCACTGCTTCTGTAAGTGAGATAAGTGACTCTGTATCTAATGTAATCCATAAGCTTTCCTCAGGATGTGTAACTTCATCCTGAGGCACATTCACAGAACAGGAACAGACATACTCACCAGCACAGACCTGTCCATCACCTGTAAAACCTTCTAGACAGAGACAGGTCGGGCTGCCAGCACTCAGCAGGCACTCTGCATTAACATCACAGCGAAGAGAGTAACACTCATGCTGGTCTGACGGAGAAGGGAACACATGGAAGCATAACATTAAGTTAGAGTAAGATCTTAAGTAGGAACAACTATGATAAAGTTTCACTGCTGTGCTGTTACCGGAAACCATCTTGTCTGTAAAGCGAGTTGGATCGTTGTCTTCTTCAGAGTCTAGATCATCCTGGGCTTTATCCGCTGACAGCTCCGGGGTCAAGGGGGTGCCCTCATCGTTGAAGGTTTTGTTTTTGAGAGACGTTAAATCTGATGACTCACTGTCTCCAGATTCTACACAATGAATTCATAAAGTTAAATAGGCATTCACAATTTAGTTTTGCTTCAGAGCTTATACATTATGAACACATATACCTAGATGTTGTGGAGCTCAATAAAGGCTTCTCTTAAATACAAGTGTATCAAGTAAGATAGCTTAAAACAAATCACCTGCTGTTCCGTTAGTTGCATCCTCAGGCAGGCAGCTTTTCCCGTCAGATGATAGGATGTAGCGCGGCAGACAGGAGCAGTGCGCCAATCCCAGTTTGCTTTTACACACCTGGGCACAACCTCCGTTCAGGTGAAGGCAAACATCTGCCCCTGAAGAGGAGGAGGCAAAATGACAATTTGAGTCTCAATCATTAATTTTTAATATTACATTACATGTCGTTTGTTAGACGCTTTTATCCAAAGCGACTTACATACTCAATACTGTGGACAATCCCCACAGGAGCAATTTGGGGTGAAGTGTCTTGCCCAGGGACACAACGACATGCTGACTGTAGTGGGACTCAAACTTGCTACCCCCTTAAACGAAGTCCAGCACACTATCCACTGAGCCACAGCCTCCCTAATAAGATTTGTTGCTGCTTGGCAAATCATTTTAGGATGAAGATTCAGGAGTTGCTTCATGTAGTGTCTTTAACCTCAGTATGTAACTTCTTATCAAATCTAATATAACTCTCTGTTGCCTCTCTGTACCTGGTTTAGCAAGGGGATGAACCACCACAATGGATGCTGGTTGGACCATGTTCCCATGGATACGTTGCAGTTTTCTCCCAGTGCGCTTGTGTACGCTCCTCAGCTGCTGGTGCTCCCGATCGGATATCCACAACCTGTCCTCAAATACGGCAAGGTCAAAAGGTCGGGCCTGCAGGAATCAGAATAGAGGGAAAGACACAAGGTGAGAACTATTATATATATTTTTTCGTATGATCTAAGGGAATAATGTGAAGGACGCAGGTTAAAGAACAATTTCAAGATATTTTAATTATGTTTCCAGGAAATAGATGTTAAGTGGGGACATAACTGAATGAATTATGAGTGCAGATATATTTGTATTCCTTTTTTATACAGCCTCTTTCGTAAATTACAAGCTCAGTTTGTCAGGTTTAGCTTTACTTTTTCAGTCTCCGCTCTATTTTAGTCACCTTCACGGACTCATGACAGCGTCTACTGATCTAGGCTGTAGTTCATCAACTTCAGATGTGTTTTTTGAAAGTTTGCACATATTGACAAGCAAACACATTGCTATTGTATGTGTTTTTCTTTTTTAATAAACCCTTATTTTATTCATAAAGATTCAAAATGTCTTACAAGGCAAACTGGCCTAGACAGCAGCTTAATATGCAGTATATGTGTGTGTATGTGTCACACAAGCCTCACCTACTTGGTTCTCTACCAGGACTTGTCGATCTGAACCGTCCAGAGCAGCCGTCTCCACCAGGCCCGTGCTCTGGTCGCACCAGAACAGACGATCCTCCGGGAAATCGATGGTCAGGCCGCTTGGTGACACAAGGTTAGTGCTAGCAATGACAACACGGTGCTTCCCTTTCAAAGAGGAACTTTCCACGACAGGCACAGCCCCTATGTCAGTCCAGAATAACTTCCTCAAAAATGAAAAAGAGAATTGAAAATTAGTCATAGCAGATGTATATATTGCTCACAGCATCTAGGTGCTATATACACTGCTGCTTATTGATTTAAGATGACATCCTTTAAGGTTAGTTGCAGTTAGTTTATAATTTTAATTCCTGAAACTATCATACACATACAGCCACACTCACTTTGCCAAAGGATGAACTGCAATTCCTCTTGGTTTTTCCAGCCCTTTGCTTACAATGGTTTCTCTGTTCAGTCCAACCAAGTTACTGCAGTCAATAGTTGACTGGCTGGGGGACAACAATATACAGAAGTGTTTTAATAAAACATCAATAATCTGATCACTTTTAGCCTCATACCTGTTATTTAAACATACTATACAAATAAAGCTGTTTAAGGAAATCTCAATGTAAATATTACATACAAATATATATTTTATTTGATGTTAAATAAAAAGATTAACTAAATACAATATGACCTAAGTATCAAAAGCTCAATGAGGTGTTGTCTTACATAAAATACATTCAAAAGCGAATATCTGATGTATAAATCGTCATCACCAGAAGGTAAGGAACATATTTCATGAGCACATGTTCTCTGCAACACCACACACCTTGTGTCGGTCCAATACATCCTGCGGTGGATCCAGTCTATCGCCAGTCCTTCTGGAGAGTCCAAACCATCAGAGACAAGAATGTCTCTCGATCCACTGTTCAAATTAACACTCTCAATTGTCTTCTGGCTTGTACTAGCAAAGTACACCTTGAAATGCATACAAAAATATATAAAGAAATAGAGTCATTATAGGAAATATGTGGGCAGTAAAAAGTATGTTCTGTAGGCAACTATAAAAAAAAGTAGAAATATGGTTTTTTTATTTAACATGGGTGAACCCTATTGGAAATCAAATGACATTCTCTGTCCACTAGGTGTCACTAGATGTCTGCAACAAAGTCTGAATCTGGCCTCCCTAAATTCTGTCAATCCAGAGTGCCTATATGATTGTATATTAAGACCTTTTCTACTAAGGAGTTTTCATCTTACATTTTGCTGGACAGGGTCATAGTCCAAAGCTATGATTGCTCCTCTGGGCTCTTCCACAACTGTTTGATCACCAGAGCCATCAGGATCAATTTGCCGTACGTTGTCAAAATTAGCAACTAGTAGATATTGTGGTGGACCTGAAGGATTACAAAAAAAAAAGGAGTTAGTGTATATTTACTAAACTTGTCATTTGCACCTCAGCTTATTTTGTACTTAATGTAAAAATACAATGTGTTCATGAAAGATTCACGGTAGAACACACTGCAGGATTAGACACAGTGTTTATCTGAGTGGGTTTATCCGTCTCAGTTGACTGCTCTGCCGTAGTATGACTCACCAGTGGCGATGCAGCGTTTGCCGTCTTGGTGGAGCTGGTATCCCGGCAGACATCCACACTGCCACCTAGCAGGAGTGACAGGAGTGCAGAGCTGACTGCACCCCCCTCTGTCTGCAGACAAGCAGCCTGCAACGCCGACAAACTGTGTTACACATCCTCGCACAGATAAGCTTTGTGTTCCTCACATAGAGGCCCCATTTTATTTGACCATGACTCATACAGCATATTGATTTAATCCTACATCACATATCTTGTCATATCACTGTGAACACACCAACATTTGTATGTGGCATGAATGTGCTTTTTCCTAATTGTACCTGCTTCTTTTAGGAGACAGTAAGACTGAGGCTATGTTTTTCTTTCTTATTCAGTTAGGCTTAATACAGTAGAAACTAGGGAGCTGTCCCCTGTACCATATTAGTATATATTGGCTGGCAATTTAAAACATTGAATAAAACCTGACTCTTCATAAATTATGTATTATTCTAAATTGATTCAATCCATTTCATTATCATCTGTTGAAAAGTAATGCAAAGTGTCCTGGTTACTGTGCTGCTGTGCCTGACGTTTGATCCATCTGACCTCATTATGACTGCTTTGATGATTCAACTCAAATATTTGTATCTAACCATCGCTATAAATACCATAGTGTAGATGTAACCAATGTATAATGGATTTTTGCGAAATATAGGAGGGGTGTATGTAACCAATGTATAACTTCACTTGTTTATATTTCAGTAAAATCATTGTCCATACTTTATTTGTAAAACTTGTCACTGTCACTTTATTTTTTAGATGCTTTTATTTTGAAAAGTACGTTTTATTTTGGTACTCTTGGCACCGGCACATTTCTGCAGACTCGCGCTACTTTCCTCAGTTAGCTTCAGGCCCCACTGAGGAGAATTAAGTGGAACGAGTGGTGTCATAAATGTTGTATTTTATATGTTAATAGATTGTTTAATGTTACACTTCACACAAGCCAAACCTATTTGCAGTTAATATCTATATTTTGCCGTGTGTGACTGTAGTTTATATAATGTGCAGCGCTTCAAACAGTGTTTGGGAGCTTTCTAAAGTTTAGCTATATGCTAACCTAACATGTGCGTGTTTTCTTCCACTGAAGGTGTGAAGTTAGAAAGCTGATGAAGCCATTTCCTGCTTTAATTATTATATTCTGTTTTGCACAGGTATGTGGGTATTCTTTTTGTATTTTGTAACTGTAAATTGTATTGTTTGTTATGTAAGTGTAAATTAATGGTTATATTTGTGTATATTGGTTTACAAGGAAAAACTGGTTTGCCACCATGGATAGATGTATATCTGTTTGTATTATTTAGAACTCTGTATACTTTCCTGAGTTAGCTTCAGGCCCCACTGAGGAGAAGTGTGAAGTTAGAAAGCTGATGAAGCCATTTCCTGCTTTAATTATTATATTCTGTTTTGCACAGAGAATAAATCCTGGTTGGCAAGAAATAAGTCGTTCTCATTTACACAACATAACACAACGCAGAGATCACACGTGGCGTCAAACCAGACCGGTTACATAGAGCAGGGATCATCACCAACTACATTTGTCCAAGGGCCAACATTATTAGAGACACTTTCGGGAGCCAGCGATTTATATATATATATGTATTAGGGCTGTCAGTCGATTAAAATATTTAATCGCGATTAATCGCATGATTGTCCATAGTTAATCGCAAATTAATCGCACATTTTTGATCTGTTCTAAATGTACCTTAGAGGAATATTTTTCAAGTTTTTAATACTCTTATCAACATATGAGTGGACAAATATGCTTTATGCTAATGTTTATTATCATTTGAACAATGACAAATATTCTCATGAATATTAAACACAACAACCTCTGAACATTACACATATTTGCCTCAATTCAACCTGGAACCTAATACAATAAAAATGGTGTGTATGTGTGTGTGAGAGATGGATCGTTGGAGCTATGTGCAACTCAAGGCATATGCTCGAACGGGAGCTACCTGGACGCTGCAATCATGTTGCACTATCCGTGCTGAGTGTGCTGACTTCTCGTACAATGTCCCACTGTCTGGCTTCCTGCATAAAGTCAAGTGCTCGGCGCAGTTGTCGGCGAAATGTCGCTCCTCTGTTTTCATTTAAGCAGCTCCTTATATCTGTTAGCGCAGCTAGCTAGCACCAGATGCTAACAACAACAATGCACGTAAGGTCTCTCTCTCTCTCTCTCGAGCCACACAGACACACACCCTCCCGGTCCTCCCAACAGCCAGTCGGTGCCTGCCGGTGAGCGTGGAAGTGTGGTCTGCCACAAGCGGGCGGCAGGAGCGGGGCTGTCACCATCAGCTTGTAGATGGTATTTTAAACTCGATGCGCTCTGAAACTACGGGGCGGCCGAGGAAAAAAATACACATGCGTTAATCGCGTTAAAATAATTCATTTTTTTGTTGCGTTAACGCGTTATTAACGCGTTAACTTGACAGCCCTAATATATATATATCCCTGGGGGGGGGGGGGGGGAAGTGCCATAGTGGTAGCGGGGGCTACTGCGGAGCGCATAAAGCAGACTCTTCACGCTAGGGTTGCCAACCGTATTTGAGCCAAAAGGGGCGTGTCCCGTACGGGGGTCCCGGATTCCCGTGTAAAGGGAAAAATAAAATATATGTTTCTGTTTGCGCGCAATGCAGTGTGTCTGGCTGCGTGCCTGTGTGTTTGTGTGCTGTATCCGAAGGGCACTAGGACCGCTCAGTTGACAGGGCAGGCACAATGCTCGCACGTGTGTGTGTGAGATTTTCTCCGGTGGGCCGCGGGCGCGGCATCACTGTTTGTGTGGTCGTGTGGGAAAATGAGCGCTGCCGGTGGAGGAGGTGATGATGAAAGAGGAGAAGAGAGAGAGGATGTGGTTCTGGGCCCTGGCCCTTCTAAAAAGAAAAGACTTGTGTCTTACAACAAACAGTGGAAGAAAAACACAGTTGGGTAAAGCCCGTGAGTCGAGATCTGTCTCGGGTCTTCTGCGTGTGTGTGTGTGTGTGTGTGTGTGTGTGTGTGTGTGTGTGTGTGTCAGCTGATTGATGGGAAAATGGTTGGTTGAAGGATAACATTAAGTCTAATAATGATGTACCGTGCATGTTCACATCATGTATACTTTGCATTACTTAATACCATTTTTCAAATATTTATTTTTTAACATTTTGGACAAAACAGCCAATTGTACATCGAGGTGCCCAGATGTCCCTAGTGCCCACCTATCCGATTTGAACATGCTGATGTACAATGTGATGTAGTAGCCTAATGCAGGTGTAAGACCATTGTGTTTGTATTGTGTTATAGGTATGCATAGTTTTCTATGCATTTTGAGGGTTTTGGGGGGTTTGACCCCATGAACCCTAGGGGGCTGGCTCCCCCAAAATAATTAAATAACATAACCCTAAAACCGAAATAAAGTAACAAAAAAAAGTAACTAAATCCGCCAGAAACCCGAAAATCTTCGTGCGCTCACGCGCGGGGGACACATGCCTGTGTCCCGTTTTTCCATTTCTGGAAGTTAGCAACCCTACTTCACGCCAACGAAGGATCACTTCTTCTTCAGGGCAGGGAAGGCTACACAGTACGCAGGCTACTGTCCCACAGCTGCTGCCTCTCTGTTGGACTCCAGTACTGCACATTACGTTGGCCCAATCCCAAACCGCCCCCTACACCCTACCCCTACACAATACCCCTCCGTTTGCGCGTTCGTGCGGAGGGTCCTCCACATTAAGTGCTGTTCCAAACCAACGAGTGTGGAGCGGTGAGGAGGGGGAGTGGGCTATCAAAAAACAGCGAGTCTGCATCGGTGCTGACTTGAGACCGGTCTCTACCTGACCGGACTCAACGCTGTGTGTGTCCGCCAGGAAACACGCTGTTAGCAAGTAGTCCCAGCGAACATCCACTGATAAATTGCGATGTTAACAACCTCCTGATAACCTCATATTTATTTAACTTAGGATCATACCTGTGTTTAGTCTAGAAAAAGTTAAATGTGTGCATTTTATTATAAAGTTCTGTATATTTACAGACTGTTGCAAAAACTAAGAAGCTTATAAACATCAGGTTTCAAACTAAAAGACACAATTAAAGATGTCTAGAGTTTTATTTGAGTTATTAATTTATATTTTTTGTCAAAGAGATGCTGATTTGAAACCGTTGTTACAGACAGTTACGGCATTTCCTGTTCCTGCCGGAGAGAGGGGAGGCCGTCCCAAAGCTTGCCGCTGATTTACTCCCTCCATCTGACAGGAGGGAGCCTCATGTGTCACTCCACAGAGTTCACTCCGTCACGGAGGGGGAGTGTGTAGGGGTAGGGTGTAGGGCGTGGTTTGGGATTGGGCCGTTGTAAAACATTTTTTAGTGGGGGGTGAACGCACTAACCACTCCGCCAGCGCCGCAGTGCGTGCCGGATGAGAATGTCTGGCATGCCAGATTAGGCCCGCGGGCCGCCAGTTGATGGTCACTGGGAGTTTGTACTGGTTTACATTTATGAAAACTTAAACACTACATTACAAATAATTTCCTTTCAAATAAGATAAAGATGGATATATTAGGAATGGGTCATTACATAGAGTTGTGAAGGTTATATTTATTGTTACAGATTAAACTGTGATCCATACCAGTACAGGCTTGTCCATCCTCCTGCAGGGACGATCCCTCTGGACACACACACACATCCCCCTCGTCTGTTGACAGGCATCCATGGCCACACGTGATATTCCCTCTGCATGGGGTGATCTCTGATTGAGGAAACAAAATCTCTTCAAACACATTTTATTTATTTCAAAACAATAATCTGGCAAAAAACAGCTAAATCAAAGTTAGTAAAAATAGTGTCATAAAATACCACCATTAATTTAGGGTTGTATGAAACAGATCAAATAAATGCTTTAAAACATTTCCAGATTATTTTGGGGCTCAGCAGGGAGAAGAAATAACCCAAATGAACTAAGAAGAAGATATAGAAATATGTGTCTCATTATTTTATCATTTGTATACCCAATGGAGATCTTAAGGCCTATTTGCTCATAATGTATTCTGTCACTAAGTAAATGATAACAAATTAGACGAAAGTTCCCCGGCTTTGTAATCAGTGTGTAATCTCTGTTGTCGGCTCCATTGTCTAGCCTGCCATTTGGCCGCATGTTTGTTCTTTCCTCGACCTTGGTTAAGGATGTCTGTGAGACTGCTTTGACATTAAAGCTGCTGACCAGGTACTGTATGTCACGTCATCATCTAACCTCATTGTGAACCTTCCTTGTTCTCGTGGCTTCATAGCTGTTAGCTAAAAAGAGATTAAGACGTTGCCATAATGTGTTTAACAAGGTTGTAAAGTTAATCTCTGTGTAAACACTACCGTATCAGGGATAACAACAGAACAACTATAACTGATCAACAATGATTGCAATGCATATTTCTGTGCCAAAAATTAGATTTCATGAGGAATCTGTTCAGACAGATAGGCCTCCAAATAACAAACTTTTGAGTATACTACTTTTTACCAGAACATTGGCTGTTTGGTTTTAAATGAGCAGAGCAAACATATTTATTAGTATAATCCTAGAAAACAATGATCTACTCTCTTTATAATATCTGCTTCCATCCACCTGAAACAGCCCCTCAATCTCAGCACAACTAGACCTTTAGTGACAAAAAATGTCAGTGTTTGGAACGAAGTAACACACAATTGGCAGCTCACATATATGTCTCGTCTAGCACGTGACCCGGCCTTTTTATTGGCTCTGCAGGGTCAAAGGAGTGTCTGGGGGACAAATGCCACCTTTCACACAACCACAAAAAGAAGAGGGTCTAATGTGAACCAGAGCTGCTTTCATTATGCTGACCAAAACAAAGAGCAAGTGTCACAACATTATAAATAAAACGTGGTGTTATTCCACTCAGGGATTCTGCAAAACCGGCACCAGCAACTCGGTTAATTGTTTTTCTTCATTGTACTACAAAGTCCTTTGCACTAAACTTGGCAAAGCTTCACATTAAGGACAAAAATGTCACATTGTATTATTGAATACTACAATAAAACATATGTTTCCACTGTACCTCCACATGTCTTCCTGTCCGGTAGGAGAGCGTATCCTTTAGGGCAGCTACAGAAATAGGACCCTGGGATGTTTTCACAACCAAGAGAGCAGCCGTGGTTCCAACGGGCACATTCATTCACGTCTATGGCACACACAAACGAACAATGAATGATTGCTGTGACCTGCCTTAATATCTAAACTACCTGGATAATTTGGTTTCATGGCATGGATACCAACCTTCACAATGAGTGCCTTGCTTATTTAGAGCAAAGCCTTCACTGCACTGGCAGATCCCTTTCTCGACTATACTGGAACAAACATTCATGCAATTTCCACTCTGTTCGTCACAACCTGTTTGAAAGAATTAACAGCAATAGATTATTCAAACATGGTCATTTCAGACAGATTTACTTAAAGGTTGGGTAGGTAAGTTTGAGAAACCGGCTCGAGATACACTTTTTGTTATATTCCATGGAATGCTCTTAACATCCCGATAGCAATGAATATCTTAAGTGCTTTGACAAAAAATCCATAACAAAATGTCATCTGTGGAAGCCGTGGTACTGTAAAAAGCACGACCAATCATTTTCACCGGCCCGGCTAAAATAACTGGATGGCCTACCTGCCTGTCAGCCTTCCATCTGTGCACAAACTTATCTCGTGCCCTCATTGGTCATGTGCGCGTTCGTGTTTGTTGGAGGAGGGGCTCTGTAAGGAAGTGGCAGATTTCTTCCGGCTGTGTATTTTCAAATTCTAGCCACTCGAGCCGGTTTCTCAAAATTACCCCCACCTTTAAGATATAAGTTATTGAATGCAATGTGCTATTGAGAAATTTCAGTTTCAGAGTTGAGCATTAACCTGGGAATGATGATTGGTAGTCTGTCATTGGCTGGTTGAGGGGGTGTACCACCTTGATAGCACCTGGGGGTTTTGCAGTTTGTTTTAAGTTCAGTGGTGCTCCGCCAGTGTATTTGTTTACTTGTTTTATAAGCCGAGTAGCAGCATCAGTGTAGTACAAGTGCTCCAGAAAAACTGATATCCCCATTGACTGAGACCTGAACAGAAGAGAGTGTTTGTATCCAAGTTTGCCAACAAAAATAAAGTGATAAATAGACAATGGAAATACAATTTGCTCACCTAAGAGGCTGATCTATGATGTGCAGAACGTTCCCGTCGTAATCACAAGAAGCAATGGCGCTTTTTCCTTGTAGACCAAACTGAACCCAGAACAGTCTTTTTTCCTCTCGGTCAATGGACAATGCTTCCAGTTTTTCTGCTATCTTTATAAGTGTAGTTTTCGTCTGTCCTGTCACATCACTCCGCTGGATACTCGGAGTCATCCCACCAGAGAGCCAAAAAAGAAACCTGCAAAATATTCAAACCGAGGAAGCACACTTTTTTTTACAAATGAATACTAATATAAATGCACCCAAATCAGTTGTTGTTCAAATATTTGTTTTGCTTTTTTGATCTAGTATTATTTAATAAATTGTAAGAATGTAATACCTGTTAGTAGGGTCAACGTTTATGTTACTTGGTTTGGTCAAGTGTCTTAAAAGAGTCCTTTCATTTTTCCCGTTTATATCCAATGCCTTGATTTTTCCCTTTTCTTCACTTGTCCAATATACTCTGTTCCAAATCCAGTCAACTGCGAGGCCGGAGATATGTTTGTCAGATGAAAGTTTCTGAAAAACAAATGTTATAACAAGTTAAACGCAAGACCAAAACATAATTGTACAGTCTTAAGAAAAATAAAACTTAAGATTTCATTAAATGTCATTGAATTTAAATACATTTCATGCAAGGGACTGGAATCTATGTGCCAGCTGTTACACATTGTAATAGTTACACATTCACCTGTCTGTGGGCTCCACCCGCTGATGCTTTGTAAATGACCCCACTGTGTTTGTCAGCCCAGTAAACTCTCTCCTCTCTATAATGAAAGTCGAGCAGGATCGGTCTTCCCACCCCAGCCAGAATCCTCCTCTGGTTCTTCCCATCGAGGTCCATCCGATGAATAGCTTTCCCATGGCCGAATATCAGGAAAGGCTGTGAGGCTTTAAGTAAACAAACATGACATGTGTTTCATAAATTGTAAAAATTCCATTATTTTTAGGGTCTTAAAACAGCAAATGACAAATTATGTATGGCTTTTTTTTCACTAGCCAAAACCTTGTAATTGATGCATGCTTATTGATTCATGCTAGGTTTATACCTAAAGCTTCTAGCTCATTTTTAACAGTGAATGAGCTACCATGCTATAAGCTATAATTGAGGTTAATATTAGGTTTATATTTATCAGGATTTGTCAAGATTTCACATTAACTCAAATTGACTAACTGTCCAAAACTCAACATGTATTCAGTTTACTGTCCTATAACAAAGAAAAGCAGCAACTCCTTTCAGTTTACAAGAGGACATTGAGAATAAAGAATGCTTGGCCTATTTGCTTTAAATAACTGATATTATTAAACTGCTTGGAAGAGGTTGCTGTTGTAAAATAACCCTTTTTTAACCCCACATTTACAACATCGTGTTTTTACATTTGAGTAGGTGCAGGTTATTGTTTGTGAAATATTCGGTCCTCTTTTAGTTTAGAGTTTTTAAAGTTTAACTAAGTTATCCCAGGGACAGGAAGGTAACCCCGGCAGCATTTAACATCTCAATAGCGTCTCTTTGCCTCTTTGTGTCACTCTGCAGTTGCAGAGACATTTGTCAAATGAGTTCAAGGCGGGCTCAACTGCTTCTGGATACAACATGATCCCTGCGCAACAAATCACTCCTGCACTATTTTTTCACTCTGACAATACTCTGCATGAAATTAAAGGCTGAAGTGTTTTCTCTCACTATAATTTAGTACACCACATTTATACGATAAGCTTCTAAATAAGCAGCAAATAAATGGCAACCATTCCACATTTATAAATGGCATGAATTGACGTCCTTCACAAATGGTATGTTGTTGGAAACGGTTAGTTAGATTTTATAATACTTTGATGTAGTTTGCTTCATGACTTATCTTGGTCATGATAAACACACAAACACAATCTCTGTTAGCTGTCTGGTTGATTAGAGATAGAAGGTGGGCTTATCAATCTTGGTAATAGCCCTGCCATGTGCAACCATGGATACTGCTCTTAACTCTGTGGAATGAAGAAAACAATGAGAAACACCAGACAAATAATATAAAGAAATGTCTGGAGTGAGATCTCTAAGATGGCTGCTGTTGCTGAGTTGCTAGGAGGCGTCCTGATGAATCATTGACAAGTTCACATGGTGGTCAGCATGATTCTTGACCTAGTGAGCTCAGTCAAAATGTTCATTTTTTTTTAATACAGATGAGTCTGAAGAGTCATAGCCATACATACAATTGCTCCCAATGCACAGCTAGAACCAAAATAGAGATTAATTTCCCATTTTACATTGTGGTAACATTATTTAGGGCTGTTTGATCAAAGATGCAACTGCTTGAGTATTTCAGCTGTGGATACATTTTCAAACCCGTAAAGGTATATTGACAGAAACGGGATTGGCAATGGGACAATGTTTTGGCATTTATACAGTACCAACATATAGGTATACCAATTTATCCAAGTGTGTCCAAGTAATTTACCTTTTTCATAAAGCTTCAGGTCTTGCTTTACTAAAGTGGAGAGTAAACTAAATCCCTCCAAAGGAAGATGTTATGTAGCTGACCATGACCTTTGACCTCTGTGCGTAAGACACTGAAAGCTAACGGGAACTTTTCAAAGGGGATTGGAAAGTTTCACATTAGTACAATTCAGTTTTAAACATTATAATTTATGTTTTAATGGGATAAATCTAAACTTTGCCAATATTGCATGACAGCAGTCATTCCAAAATGTTTTGGACACCAGCGATCAGCATCTGAAAGCTTTAACTGATGTCCTTGTGGCATCCCTCAAAAAACTTGGGCTCAGTTTGAGATACACCCACTCGAGCACAGAGCAGTTAACTGCACCTCTGCTACAGTGCTTGTTATTGTCTGCTAAGCCAAGTTCACTTTACCACTGACCTGTTGCTCTGCTTTTATTTTAGATTGGGAGTGGGTGAGCAACCTTTTAATTTTTTGAATTTCACTTGATTGCAGCTTTTTTTCAATACTGATCACAAACCCATGACTGAATAGGAGTTATAGCACTTGTTGTTTTCGTACTTTGTACTTTTATGTCTATTATGTTGTATAACTACATGAACATAAAAGCTACAATTTGTGCACATGGGGGTTTCTACCAACCGAGCAAATCATATATATTTTTTTCACCAAATAAAAATGGTATGTTGAAATAAAGAATGTAGATATCCCTACATACAGTAAAGTTTGAACTCTACTTATTCACTTGCAATTGTTACAGAAGACTGATAACATAAAAAATGTTACCGTGAACAAACACTGTTTTGCTTTAGGATTGTACATCAACAATTTTAATCACTGCCTGGGCAATGTGGCGCTTTGCATGTGTTTTGCCATATACAGTATTAAGCATCATCACTTTTAACCAGTGTGCCTTGTGGAAGTAGTTCCATGGCCAACCTGCCCTATAATGTAATCTTGCAAACCTTTGAAATGGTATCAGAAGTACTAACTAAACCCAGGAGATACTGTTTTTGATTGTTATGATTCTCATCTTAACTTTTTTCTTTGCTAAGCCAGTGCTTGACAGACATGGTCTAAGATCAAAATAACCTCTTATACAGCAGAGTATTCAGTGGCTTTCAGTGGTTTTAACATCTCCTTTATTAATACCATAAGGGAGCATCAGTCTAGACAGGAGTGGTGTCAACCAAACTCACCCACACAGCTGTTGTTTTTTCCTGATCGCGAAAGCCGTTCGTCCCAACATGCTGTACCAAGGGCCAAGGCTCCAGAGCGTTGAACCAAAAAATAGATTAGCGCTGCTGTGATCGTTGCAGCCAACATAATCCTGCACTCCGTCCCTGCCTTGGTAGCTGCACTCGTTCACTTTTTCTCAGGCATTTCCACTATTAGCAGTGGCACACAAGAATTCCCCAAAGATAAGCAACATTTGTTTATGGACTGTTGGCATCCTTGTCGAAGTCTTCAACCTAAAGAGTCGGTGTTCTTTACATACCAAAATACGTCGCGCTAAAAACCAAGCAAAACTCCACTGAAACGATGGAGTACTCCGAATGAAGAGGGTGTGGGATCCTGCTCACTCCCCGCTTCGGCCCCAAAGCTGCCAGTCTGTTTTGGAAGCAAAGATTGAAATTCCTGACACCCCCGTGGTAAATTTTGCACATGCTAGTCCAGCATTGGAGCAAGATCTTCTTTAGGCTGCACTCAGTGTCTCAAGCAGAATGTGGAATATTCAAGAAATGAGGCAGAGCTGAAGAAAGGTCCCACTTAATAAAAACATCTATCCTTCACCCCACCCCCTGACCCATGATTGATGCGTCTGTCTGGAACGACTGAGTTTTTGTGTCTAGAAGACAAACAAAAACAACATTGCATATTAGGCTGAACACATATAATGTTTGTTGGGGGAAAAAAATTACCCATCTTTTTTCAAACAATACCAGCATTCATATATGAACATTCACTTACAGCATGATTGTTTTTTACTCATGCCACATACAGTTTAACAGACAAAAACGCCAAGGCCATGTCTCTATTGCCGCCTGTTTAAGTTCCTCTGGCTCTCAGGGCGAATCGGTAGAATGATTAATTTATAGAGAATGAAGGAGACAAGTAAATAATCATCACATAGTTTGTCCTAATTTTACCCAGGAGAACAACTAACAGACTGCAGGAACCAAAACCTCTATTCATACTCTCCATGAGTAGGATATTGTCAGCTAAATTGTCACCAGTAAGCTTATAGAGGGGCAGGAGACGATTTACATGGCTGAGAAAGTTGCCTTGTCTCCAGACTAATGTGAGCAGTCTGAAGGGCAGTGACCTTTTCCCACGATTTCAGCCCCTGGCAGATAACAATGCACATGTTAATGTCTATAATTTCCCATCATGTGACCACTGTGCTGAATACCAATCACACATGGGTTTGACCCTTTAGGTACCATTCGTTACTTGGAAACAGCGATTTCTAAGTATTGCTGCCGTATTAAATGCCATCTAGAGTCTGTGCTTTTGTACAATAGTTCCACTCCTTGTTGCATATGGAAAAGCCTAAGCATTTTAGAATATGAACTCTTGATTTAAATAATGTCATGATGCCAAATCATTACTCAATTACGGAGCCCCCTAGGGGACATGGAGAAGAAAAAAAAAAGTATTTGAATAAAAATAAAATGTTTTGCGAGATCTCGCAATACTTTTGCGAGATCTCGCAAAACCCCGTTGCAGTTTGTAGACGGTCCCTAAGCACTCCTCTCCCTCCTCCAGCTGCAGATTGTGACCAATTATTGATGTTTAGCTCGGATGACGGCGCGTATCGAACTGTTCTGATAAAAACGACTATGTAGCTCGTTGTCTACCTTGCTATGATTGTAAAGTCAAGTTGTTTGTATTTTTACAACGTTATGTTCATGAGTTATTGATCCGCGAAATTCGAATCTGTCAATAACTCAGCTCAGAGGGACGTGCATGTCCCCTCGCTCTGAGTGTTCTCTTGAGGTGTCTTCACTTATGTGAAACCCTTTATACAGTCTATGTGTGAAACCCGTGCCTATTGCCAAGCACTGATGTTATATCTTTATATTTAAGGCCAAGCTCAAAGTAAAATCGATGAACCACTCCATTGTTGTGGTTTCTGTGTTGCCGTAGCAGCCGAACTGACCAGGAAGTACTAAATGAAAAGTATTGCGAGATCTCGCAAAGGTGTTTTGCAATATCTCGCAAAAGTATTGCGAGATCTCGCAAAGGTTTGCAAACCATTTTTTTTGGTTCACATTTTTTTTTGTTCTTCTCCATGTCCCCTATAGCCCAACCTTTTTTCCCAAGGGCCCCCCCAGATGACTCCTGTTGGAAGTTGCGCCCCCCCCCCACATTATTATTATTATAGTACAGGGGGGGCGGGCGCACGCAACAGCGGTAATTAAAGTTTAAAAGTCTCAAAAATGCTACAACTACTGTCACAAACTGGGTGAATGTGAAGTATTTTGTTAAAGGAGGATGAAAGCGTAATTAAGGAGCACTATTGGAGTGACTTTGATGGTTATTGGACTCAGGATGAATTCATTTGGATTCCAGCTGAATGAAGAAATTAATCAAGGTGCGGAAGTGGAAACAATTCACAAAGGGATTAAACTGTTAAAACACATGCTCAAAGTAAGCCGGATTTTGCCGTTGTGTTTATGTGGATTCAAAAGTCGTAAATAATCTACAAAATGGAGGAGACCGATCTGATCGGAGCAACTGACAAATAATCCAACTGAAACCAGCATGGACAATGACTATGTTTTAAAAATGTACACACGGCATCTATTACACACGGCATCTATTACACACGGCATCTATTACACACGGCATCTATTGCACGTCTGTCCGTCCTGGGAGAGGGATCCCTCCTCTGTTGCTCTCCCTGAGGTTTCTCCCATTTTTCCCTTTAAAACTGTGGGTTTTCTTCGGAAGTTTTTCCTTGTACGATGTGGGGTCTAAGGACAGAGGGTGTCGTATTGTCATTCTGATATTTTGTACAAACTGTGAAGTCCACTGAGACCGGAAGAAACATTTCTATTAAAGAAACATTTCTATTAAAGAAACAATTATACATTTCTGTCTTTGTATGCCTTTAATAGCTACTAACTTGAATTTTTATTCAAATGAATCAATCAATTATTTTTTATATTTTATTGTAATGTGAGACAAGGCCTTTTACAATTATATGTATAAAAATAATAATAATAATTCCCAGGTTGGGAACCACTGCCCTAGGGGGCTCCGTACTCAATATTTACTCATGTCTAAAATCTGTCGTCTGTATTTAACAAAACATTATTTTACTATGTTGTTGTCCAAATCTGTTTATTTGGTTTTTCAGCTCACATGTCAGACCAGACCATTTGTTTTATGATTTCAGTAAATAATAACTATTTATAAAACTAATGTTTGATTCAATAAAGCAAATCTTTGAAACTTAGACCTTTGGGACATTGTTATGTTACAAAATGACATTACATTGCATTTAGCTGACGCTTTTATCCAAAGCGACTTACAATAAGTACATTCGACCAGGAAGACACAACCTTGAGTTCAAAATGGTTCAACAACCACTGCAATCTTTGAGCAATGAGTTTTTTCTAGCCTTGCTGTTACATATTCTGTCAATACTTACATGTGGCCAATTTTCTACTGGACTGATGTAATGGTGCCAAGTCATGGTTGCCAGGAGATTTGTAGTGTGACTGAACAGCCCCTTGTGAAGTGAAGTATATCACTTCAAGTGGCCCTATCTGGATTGTTGCTATTACAGGATGGACCACAGCCTGGTAGCAATAATTAAAGAGGAAATGGATCGTATCTATTTATATCAGTCTGTACATTGATGTGTTGTTCTCTCTTTTTTCACACTCACCATCCTGCCAGCCCTTGTTTCTCTGAAAAGTATCCATCTTTCCATCTATCTACTAACCCATCCTATCTTTTCAACGTTTTTCTTCCACTAACAGCCCAGCCCTTGTCTACAGGCTGTTCATCTGAATGTTTGCATAATAACACCACAGCTGGTATTATATATTACTTAGTAACGAAGGGTTATACAGCTGGTTGCACAGAGGTATCCATGGGAACAGTTTCCCAGGTCCACACATAATCTGAGCAGGATTTATGTCAGTGCGGTTAAGATGTTAAGAGAGCGTGACAACTGTGACCCATTGATTTTCAGGATGAACATGTCTGTTCTGGCTCATAACAAAAATACGTTATCTGTCTCTACATCTATATTTCTACTGAATTACATTTTGTGTTTGGTTCATAATAGATGATATGCATTTGTGTGTGTCTTCTAGCAACACATTCATAAATGAAGGGTGTATATGTTAAATAGTACATGATGAGGATAGCATGTTGTGGATACTTTATACAGTACATGGTCTACAGTCTAGATTGTAAAACAGCAGTATTTTATTTTGTTGTTTTTTGTTTGTTGGTCTTATGGATAGTGAGTTGGGCTGATGATCGGAAGGTTGTGAGTTCAAATCCCTCCTGGAACACCATTACTAGTGTGCCCTTGAGTAAGTCACTTAGCCCTCAGTTACTCAGGGAGAATGTCCCTGTAATTGGTCATTGTAAGTCGCTTTGGAATAAGGCGTCTGCTAAATGCCTAAATTGTAAATTATATTTTTGGGAGAACAAACCCCACAGATCCTCAACTCCGGTGTGTCTCACTCATTAACAACGCAACACAGAGCAACAACAACGTTGTCTACAGTGGCCATGAACTCGCATGTATTTTCTTATTTGAGGGGGGGTGGATGCGTGGGCCACCCGAACAGGTTAAGGGGCCTTTGGCTTTTCTTGCCGGGGGGGGGGGGGGGGGTGTGGGGTGCGGTGCCCCCACAAATAGAATCAAATTCTGTGGGAAACACTGTACAGGGATTTGATTTCACCAGGTGAAAAGACATACAATCTGTTGCTGAAATCCTGAGGGATTATCCGAGAAATAACATTTGGGCAAAGTTCTGAAAAACATAGATTTTAAATGTTCATCAATGAAAGCCAGAGAGGGGTGGTCTTTTGACAACTGAGTTGCATTTACTGAGATTCATGCTTTTGATGACATTAAAGGCTTTCTATTTGATATAGAAATATGTGCCCATTAAATACCTACAACCTATTTTATGTATCTACTCTTATAAGGCATGCAACACAACATGAATATAATTCATCAATTGTTTAGTTTATTAAAAACAAATGTAAATCTCCATCAATAGACACATATACATCAAGTCATAGGAACTGGCAATGTTTATCAGAGACACATATTCTAATAAACACAATGACCAGACTTACTTGTCCATTAAGGCAACAATTAGCTTGATGCTTAACATAATAATAATAATAATAATAATATTAATAATATTGTCAATGTGATGGGAAGTGGATAATGGATATTCTTTGACACCACCACATACTATTCACATCTGAGACTTTGGCATTGGGTGTCAAATAAAATCCCACAGCTAACAGACAGGCTCTTTGTATGGTATTACTATGTATATCTTCCAAGGTGCCGTGCGGTAGTGACAAATCATTCAAATGTCTTCAAAAATCAAATATAAGGCCCCATTTTAATAAGGACAAGAATAAGTATAGAAGGTGGTTATTGACTGTTCTGATGTGTTTTCTTGTTACCTAATGATTTCATATCATAACCTTGATCTGGATTGAATAAGGCATATAAAGAGAGTTTTATATAAGTTGTTACGAGCATGGCGTTTCAAGAATCACCATGGATTCCTGGCATCAGCAAAGATACTCACACCGGGAACTGTCACTCTTGGAGGTAATTTGGGAGTCATTGCTCGACCTGGAGCACAGGAGCATTCGCTCTGATTCGTGAGTTGCTCTACTTGCCCAAAGTTGCGTTGGTTGACCATTTAAAGTCCTTTGTTTCATTGAAATTGTCTCAAATTTGACATAGCTGTCTTTTTCAAGCTCCTCTTCGTCATATTCTGTGTTGTGTCCCTTGTAGTACAAATCAATAATGTTGTACAATAAAAGGGCAATGAGAGACATAACCAAAATACAGGCAATGCCGCTTATAAAAATGAAAAGCTTGTCACCATCCTCTACATCGTCCAATGTGTAGAATTCAGTGCAAGGATCTTTTCCAGCCGCACTACCTTTTACTATGAGGCAAACTGAGTACCTCATCCCAGATGATAATCCCTCCAGGAGCACTTTTCCACTGCCAGCTTTAGTCTCCACCGTCCTTTTCATGTCATCCTCATCATAGGGTGAGTATACCACTGTAAGTGGGGCATCATTTGGTAACCCATCTGCTCTCCAGAGCAACACTGCAGTGTCAGATGTTTCCTCTACAATCTTAATGTCTTTGACAGACTTTGATTTGTCGATTATCTTGCTCTTTTCATCTGCTGCAAGCTTTCTCCCATCGCCTCCTGGCTGGGGTTTTGCTTGTTTCAATGGGCCTTTTTGTAGATTCTTGCTTGTGGTCGTTTTTGGCCTCTTGGGGGCCGCAGAAGTTGTTGACGTTGTTGCCGTTGTTGACGTTGTTGCCGTTGTTGCCGTTGTTGACGTTGTTGACGTTGTTGACGTTGTTGGGATAGCTGTTGTCATCATAGTGGTTGAGATGGGAGTGTCCGTTGGGGGAATAACTGTTGTGACTTGTTTAGTTGGTTCAGTTTTGTTGATAAGCCTTAGTGGAACGATGGTGGTACTGATGTCACCTGCAACTGAGACCGATATGGTGGCTTCTGCATTGCCGGCATAATTCTTAGCTTTGCAATTGTAGTTCCCCGCGTCTTCAAACGAAATTCCGTGCAAACTCATGATGGACCATCTGATGCCGTCTCCAGGTGACTCCTGGACTAGAGTGGAACAAGAACACAAAAGAACATGGATACAGTTTTACAAAGCTTTTTTCCAATGGATTATGAATTATTGGCAACAATATCAACGGTTCAATGCAATTAATTTGAAAACGCTATTGTTTTCCCTTAATAAAATACTTTACATTTTATTTCAAAGCAAGCATATTATACCTGTGTTGTCGACGGGTGAGCCATCAGAACTAGCCCAGGAAAGACTTGGTGTTGGAAACCCTGTGGCATCACATCGCAGGATAACATTGCTTCCCAAATCAGATGTGATCTTGGTTGCTGAAGACATAATGGATGGTTTTACACAATTGTCAAGTTCAGCACGCTGAAAAGGGAAACCAGCCAGATTCTCTGGTCCACTGCAGGCCATGAACAGGTCCATCAAAACAACTGGCGTCCCAGACATTTTTGAAAGCTCAATCAGCTTGGAAATTTTACAGTCACAGAACCAGGGGTTATCTTGGAGCCCTGAAGACAAAAACAGATAAGATCCATTACAGTAATGTATTGCTGTTTGACAGCAGTGCAGTACTTTAAAGCATTTTGAGTTATTTTGGAAATGAAAGATGATACAGGTAGAAATACACAACACATGTGAAATATGTCTCACTGACATTCAGTTTAAGCGGAAACTCTCTTTGTGTTTTGTAAATGAATGAACATGACAATGAAATGCATGTTTAAATGAACACATCGTAACCTATATATACTCCCTTACAAATAGCTGTAAACCCCTTGTGCACACAATAGGTAAGCACATGTACTTGTGCATATTAAAACCCTTTAATCCGATTAGTTTGTCCTAACCCGTTGCAAAGCACCTACAGTAAGCCTACTTTGGCCTCCATCCAGTTTGCGGCAACACTCTCTTTCCATTAGCCTTTCTGTTGGCGGATATGTCAACACATCACTGACAACTTTAACCCTTAATTCTGCATGTCTGAAGTGGTCCCTGGAATTTTTGTTGTAAGTCCAAACCCCTATTTAATGTTCTGTATCATCAAAAAAGAGAATACATAATGTTAATTAAAGCTGTTAAGTTGAGCATATCACTCTTATAAAACTAACATTATCTGCTTTTAGGCTACCTTAAAGAAGCTTTTGTGTGATTTTCCATCACACAAATGTTATTTTTTCTTAATCCTGTTCCTCCTTCAGGTGAACCACAGCACACTGCCAGCTCTTTTCGCACGGATAAGCTAGCTTGCCCTTACGTAGCCTATTAATAATATCCCTCCCACTGTCCTTGCAACACAGACACTATAAACAAACATACATTATTGTTTACGCTGGGCCCATCATATTCCAAACATTTTGGTTTAACTCTACAATAACGTAATATTAACATTTAATGTTTTACTGTGCCTTCACGCAACACACTGGCATACTTCCTATAATGACAAGCTCTGATTTATGGATTTGAAACTATCTTTAACATTCTGCCCTGCTTTAAAACAACATCTTAAAATTCCCATCTGCATATTTCCTCCGTCTTTACCTCTAACTTGATATTTTGCTATCAATATAGTACTTACAGTAGCCTAACCCTAACCCTTAAAGTAGTAATTGTCCTTGGGTACAAGCTATGTCAGTGACAATGCCAACACATGTTTGTACATGCCAAAAACAAACACGTATTGTTTCTTGCAGTTTTTGATCCGTGTAATCTATTCCTTTGATCCAAGTCAATAATACATGTTTACTGACAAATCTGCTCATACATGTAAATACTGCAAATTCAAGTAGGGAACACTTCTCTGTTATTAGCTGTCTGCTATCCTCTGAAGATGCAAACACAGATTAATTTAAGTGAAATAGAGAAAACCTTTAACATTTGTTATTGTCTAAACCCATTTTATCTTATTTTGAATAGAAGATGTATCAATGTAAGTTTACTCTAAATAACCCAAATAATGTAAATATGCTTCTTACAATCCTCACTAAAGTTTTTAGGAATGGCACTATTATAACAATATAAACAATGTCTTGCAACAGAAAGCTAGCCAACAAATGCACATTTGTTCTCGATGTTTATACCGTGATTTACGGTTTATTTTACCACAATGATGGCCAAGACATTTGTATAACGATATCTAGCAAAGACTTCATTTTGGCAATGCACTTGACTTTGGCTAGAGAAAAAAACTATGAAACCTTATAGTGGAATTTGAGATGTCAGAATAGCAGAAATTAAGCAACCAACCGTTTAAATTGAGATGAATGTTTTATCAAAACATTACAGATCATCCTGTTTTGAGCAATATACGTCAATGAATATGTTTTTCATTATGTACATTTAATACACTGCATGGGTAGTCGAAATACGATGCACATGCTGTTTCTTTGTTTTGTTTTGCTAACTTTATCCTCTCTTGGATTGCCCAGACTGCGTGTGTTAAACATTTAACAGTTAATTGGGACAATAATTTGATAATTTACATCAAGTGTCAACTCTGCCCTGCTTAGAATAAGCCAATTTGATAGTGCCCTCGTAGTCACCTGCTGGGGATGAAAGGGAGTTCCTGAGGTAATTATCAACATCCCCAAAAGTGTCCTGCCCTGTATATCCTATACAAGTCATCCTGGCACAGCCTTTTTATCCTTACCTAATACAACTTTCTGGGAGGCGTTAGCAAAGATGGGTGCTCCATTGAAGGGCGGCCAGATATCCATTAGATCAGAGGGCAGGGTGGCTAATTTGTTGCTGGATAGATCCAAGTATGTAATGTTGAAGAGATAGGGTATTGCTTCATTGGGAACATTAGTGATCCTGTTGTTGTGTAGATCCAGTGTCCTCAGCATTGGCATCTCTTTCAGAGACTCCCAAGGGAATACGGAGATCATATTTCCATCCAGCCTCAGCTCGTGGAGCACTTTGAGGTTGTAGAAACCTGCAGAGTCCACTGAGGTTATGGAATTGTATGTAATCCACAGGTACCGTAGCTCCACCAGGTAGTAAAAAGCTTCTGTTGGGATTCGCCGTACCATGGTTTTCTCAATTCGAAGTTTGACCGTGTCCACAGGGACATTGACTGGGACGTCAGACATGTCTGGATCATTGCAAACCACAGATCTGAAACGAGAGATACATAAGTTAAATAGTTTGAACATAATGTATAGCCAGATAACAACATTGATTTAAAAGGGTATTTAATACTCAATTTCAAATTAAATGGATGTCGTACATGACTGTAGTCCTACTATAGGGCACTTTTCAGATCTCAATAGTGAGTGATTATTTGGATTGACTTCCACTTCAGGGGTTGGAATATCTGGAACAATTTTTTAGATATATATGCAACACAATAATTTATTTCAATAACTTTCAATAGGATAGTTTCTAATGACATGATTTTGAGCTATTACTTATATGTTTTAATTGCTATGATGAAGATGTTTATTTACAAATATGATATCATCTTAAAGGTCCCATGTCATGCTTTTCCGTTTATTACCCGCCCGCTTGTGTGTTATGAAGGTTTGCATGTAAACGGTCTGCAGAGTCACAAACCCTCAAAGTACACCCTGTAGCGAGTAAAACTCTAACACAGAAAATACCTGTCTATGCTGCCCCAGACCGCCTCGTTGGAGATTTCTCTTTTTCCATTGTTTTCTTCCAGGTACCAAGGGACGTAACGACACACACACACACACACACACACACACACACACACACACACACACACACACACACACACACACACACACACACACACACACACACACACACACACACACACAAAGGGCGGAGCAGCGAGACCCGCAACGTCCCGCCAACACGGCACCCAGACCCCACGCAGCATTCTCATCTGTTTGTCATCACTAGTGTCATTTTCTGGTTGCTAAACAAACGCCATTGTAACACACAAACACACATCAGAGCACAGTGGGCTCATAGGGAGGGGGGTGCAGGAGCTCCAACAAAGCGTGTAGGAGTGAATGCACATACTATACAGAGATGCTGTATGAGAAACCAATGTGATTTTGGAACATTGAACAATGTAAATCTATTCTAGTATACCTCAACAATGGAATTATGATCAGTACAAAATGGCCATGACATGAGACCTTGCCAAGGGTCACCTTTATACCTATTGTGCGCATTCAAAGGGTCATTATTGTATAAAAAGCATCTTAGTTGAAGACTAACAGTGATGTAAAGAACATTTCGTTTTGAAATCTATTATTTGTTTAATGAAGGCATATAAATAGTGTCCAAAAACTGAGAGCATGAATTAAAGCCGACATAAAGTTAACTGTACCTTGTTCTTGCTCCGTCGGTACGTCCATGTAAGACACAGGTACACTGGGATGGGCAGAAGGGATGAGCCAAACTGAGGCAGCATAGGATTACATACACTAATAGAAGTTGACGCATTGTTTCAGCAAAAACACCCACAGTTCTCACATTGAGAAGAGATCAGATAAAAAGACATCCGGATTCATAGAGAGCCTGAAGAATAATTATTTCCAAAAATGAAGAATAAAGAAAAGAGCTTCCATAGTCCATACGAGGCACCGGTACGCAGGCTGAGGATCTGATTACACAACAGGTCACCTGTCGGATTGACACTGTTGGAGGGGGAGGGGGGGGGGGGGATTAGTGGAGGATTTCTTGGGTTTGACTGGGCCACGCACGTTGGCTACAACGCAGGTGCAGTCACTTCAACATGTCGCTAATCAGCTAATCCGAGAGAGGTTTCCCGTGAGGGGATCCAGCCATGCCTTTGTTAATACATTCAGTTCCCAACCTCACTAATGTTTATGTCCTTACCCTGGCTCTTACAACTTTGTGTTCACATACACAAATACTCCATCTTCTTCTGCATTTGTAGGGACACTTATTTTCTTCCAGAATGTCTGGGTACACTTCTGGGTACAATTATTGCATTCTAGGTATCCGCTGACTCTCTAGACATTCCTACAATTTAAATGTATTGGGCCAGAGGCCATATATAAGATGTGTGAGTCAGTTATGTCTGGCACTATGGTGCAAAGTGTAATCTTGGATGTGATTTATTGCCTGACTGGGTGCTCCAGTGGCTTGGGCCAAACTCAACCTGTCTACTGATGACGTGTATCCCTTTCATAGTTTGTGCTCCTACCTAGTATAGTGATATGTTCAGGGACGTGCACAGACATTTGGAGGGGCTATTGCTCTAAACTGGAAAAAGGGCCTCCTCCCCCCCGATTTTTTTTTTTGAAAATTCTAACTTGTTTTTAATGTAAAAGGTTCATAAAATAAAAACACAACACTGTCATTGCAAGTGATACTCAGTTGGCTTTTATGTCCACTGCTAAATTCGTTATTCAGACACATTTTTAGTTGTGTGGTCCATATCTCATTAAAATATCTAATGTTATAACTATTAAAGAAAAAATGGGGACAATCCTGTTTTAATGTAGTTTGACCATTGTAACTGCTGTGCAGACATAGGCTACTGATAAAATAGGGCTTCTAACTAATTACCTTAAATACAATTACTAATTAATGAAACCAGTTCAATATTATTCTTATTCTTATCATTCGTTATGAGCGTAGTAACGGTAAGGAATCTAATTATTTATTTATTTAGTATTTCATAACTTCATAACAGAGATGCTCAAACTAAAGTAGAGACATGGCAGAAATCCTACAATGAAGCGGGACAGTGAAGTGTTCTCCGTGAGAGGACGATCAAGAGAAGAGAGAGAGCGGCCCCGTTGAGGGAGTTTACGGAGCAGAGTAAAAGACACAGAAAGACAGAAGCATGTATATGTAGGTGTTTTTTTGTAAATAACCGACGGTGTCAAGAGGAAGTAAAGTCCCCTGGTTTGTCCCCTATACTCTAACGCCAGGCAGGCATTTGGTGTGATCACCATAGCCATATGAGGCCGGAGGGCTTTCCTTTACTTCCAGCTGTCAGATTGTAAACAAAGTCACGTGACTGGGGGCAGATGACAGCGCTGACAAGGTGTGTTTCCCGCAGCGAGACGCTACAAATTAATTGTGGGTTTATCATGTTGATTCGGCCACAATAGAAAAAAAAACTCTCGCTCTCTCCAGAGGGGCGGGTCAGACAAAAATGGCAAACGGGCTGTTGCCCGGCCCGTACCTGTGCACGTCCCTGGTTATGTTGATAGAAATGTAAGCATTGTACAGTTTACAGGACGTTACTTACATCATCCAACATCACCCTTAGCCTTAAAGGCAAACGTTAAGGCATTTGAAAGAAAATCCTCCATATTGTTACTATAGCGAGAAACTCTATTCCTGTTTAACCTTTATTTGAAATATTTGGGATTTGGCCTCTGGTTTATTTAGTCTTAGCTACAAAATGGTAGTTCTCATTCATAACACTCCGTTCGATGTCTCACTATGGGATGCGCCTCATCGCGGAGCAAACAGAAGCATCAATCTCATTACGCCAATCCTGATTGGCTGGAGATCTTGACGTCAGCGTCAGGGAAATCACCCCCTATAAGTAGCTTGCGCCACAACGCATGCGCCATTGAAACACCTCTTCTCGCTTCAGGGCACATCTCTATGGTAGCCAGACAAGCTTCACGGTCCACAGACTGAACTCAAATATCCATTTCGGTCGACGGGCGCTTGCCGGCTACTCCTTCTTCTTCGCAGGAAGACGGTAATTACTAACGCTAGTTATTGTTGAAATCGACCTCGCCGCTCTCTTTCCCCGGAAAGTAAGCTAGGTCTGATTTTTTCAAGCTAGCGTTAGCTTGCTCCCTCACTACCGACACCACGGTAGCGAGGAAGTCTTTTCTTTTCTCTTCCCCACGGAGGAGGAACGGATTAAAAGGAGCATACTGCCACACCAGTCAGTATTCTCTGGGAATAAAAGACCCACACCGTCCTTTTCTCCGGATTAAGGACAGGGTGGTTACCTCTTTTTCTCCCAACCTACCTGTTGAGAGCGGGTCCTCTCCACGCCACGAGGCGAACAAGATGGACGCCCCTCTCCCTCACACCAGAGGAGTCAGGGACTCGGTGGCTCGACTCTGCGGCTGCGGGTTGAAGATCTCGGGCACAGACACACACCAGGTCTGCTCGTCCTGCCTCGGGCTGGAACACGCCCGAGGCGCTATCGACAACCCCGGCTCGTGCGGACATTGTGTCCGCTTCACCGTAAAGAGCCTCCGCCGACGGCTAGCACGCCAAGCTAGCCTGTCGGAGCAGGAACCCCCCATGTCCTCTGACCTGCCGGCCGGCAGTCAAGACGCGGGGGCATCTGCCACAGAGAGTGAACCCCTCTCCATGTCGGTCTGGGGCTCAGTATCTGCGATGGCCGCAGAACCGGATTCCCGCGCCCTGGCAGGCCGGGACCCGGTGGCGGCAAGACACACGGGAACGGGACCCCACGCTTTACCGAGCTGGGGCTCCCAGTTAGACCTCACCATGGTCTCACCCGCGGAGGATGTCCTCGAGCTGAATTACGACGAGGACGAAGAGGACGCCTCAGTGTTCCTCCTGTCCGAGTCGGATGAACATGAAGAGGACATCTTCATGTCATCGGCTCAGGCTGCAAAGCCTGGAGCGAGGGCTGCTCTCCCAGACGATAGCATACCAGCTTCGCCCTGTCTGAGTATGGACCTGCAGGCCGTGTGCAAACGCGCTGCGGCCAGACTCGACATCCCGTGGCCTGAAATGGCCAAGGAGACCTCCAGGTCCCGCTACGAAGGGAAACATTTTCCCCAAGCAGCGCGGACAAAGAGACAACTCCTTCCGGTCTTCCCGGAGATGTTGGATGATGGTGTCGGTCTCGTGGAGAGACCGGCCCTTCAGCAACAAGGTCCCAATCCAGGGTGCCTCCTCCCTAGACTGTGACGGAATGGAGAAGCTCGGCCTGCTCCGCATACCGCCCATGGAACCGCTGGTAGCAGCCCACCTCCTACCGAGGATGGGCCCGTCACCAAGCAGGAACCCCACGCTGCCGGCAAAGTCGGACCGATTTCAGTCGACAATGACTGAACGGTCCTACAAAGCCGCAGCGTTGTCCGCCAGGGCCCTGAATGGGGCCTCGCTGCTAACCGCTTACCAAGCGGAGCTCTGCGAGGACCTGTCGGGTAACCCGGGTGCAGCCACTCTGGACGAGATGGCGGCGGTCACAGACATCTGTCTCCGTGTCCAACGCTGCGCCGTCCAGGCCACGGGTAAGGCAATGGGGATCATGGTGGTGCAGGAAAGAGCGAGATGGCTCAACCTCACCAACCTCCCAGACCGGGAAAAGGAGGATGTGCTGGATATGCCCATCGTTCCCGAGGGAATTTTCGGCTCCGCTCTTGCTTCCATGCAAAGGAGGTGTGAGTCGAAAAAGAGGGAGGACGAGGCACTCCACCTCTGCCTCCCTCGAAGGGTCCAGCCGCTGCCTTCGCAGCAGCAGTCCTTCGCCCAAGCTGCCTTGAACCCTGCTCGGTTTAAAACACCGAAAACGCAGAGGTCGCAGCCCGCCCCGAGTCCCCAGCCCAGGCTGGAGACGAGGGCGAGCTGGCCCAGAAAATCTCCGGTTCCGGCTGCAGCTCAGGCGCAGCCAACCCAGAATTTCGGCCAGCAGGCGAGGAAGAAGAAGCGAGCGGCGTGACAGCCCCTCCTTCTCCCCTCTGTGACAGAGCTGGAAGTCCACGGTTCCCCAGCTCTAAATGTGTTCCCGCCGCCTCGAGAGATGCCTCAACACCATCCTCAAGTCCGCAAAAACACATGTCACAAATCTGTTTGTTCCTCTGTCATTAAACATTTGCCGCTGACGCATCCAGGCTTCAGGCCGAGGGCGCAGCTAAAAAAAAATGATAAGAAAAACAATAAAACCAATAAACAGCCCGTCAACTGTTCCCCTTCTGAGAGCAGCTACGGCATCTCTCAAAAGGCGGATTACAGGCGGGTCTGTGAAGGCACCACCGTCACGCGCATGCGCAGTGCCGGCTGGGGTTTTAAAAAGCACCACCGCACAATTGGCCCCCGGGCCTTCTGTACGCGTTCCCACCCCTGGCTCTGATACCCCCAACTCTGGCCAGAGTGAGAGAGCAACGCCACACACTTATCCTGATAGCTCCGCACTGGCCAGCTATGTACTGGCTAGCGGAGATATATCAGCTGCTGTGCGGGCAGCCATGGCAGCTCCCACTACGCAGGGACATACTGTCCCAAGCGGGGGGGGCGATCTTTCACCCACACCCAGAGCGCTTGGCTCTATGGGCCTGGCCCGTGAGTGGTTCAATCTAAATACAGTGTGACATGACGCTGACCCTGGCGGCTGCCAAGCGAGCCAGTGGCACTCATGCACTATCTGTACAGTTTTCATGCACTCAGTTTGCCCCAGGGCAAACAGAGTGTGGTTGAAGCCCAACCCTGCCTTTATCTTAAGGCGGTCGGTTCGGGTACCACATTTGACATTAAGGCATCCTCCCCGCCACTGTATTCCTCCGGGGAACAGCGGCCGGATTTGCCGTGTCCAGCCCGTGCTTCACGCACGTACAGGGACAGATCAAGGGTGCTTTGTCATAATGACCAACCCCTTGTGT